ATACTTCAAGACATATTTGTTCATTCTTCTGGCAGTCCATACTATATTCAACATTCTTCGTCAATACCATATTTCAAAGGCATCAATTCTTCTTCGGTCTTCCTTATTCATTTTCCAGCTTTCACATGCATGCGAGGCGACTGGAAATATCATGGCTTGTGTCAGGTGCACCTTAGTCCTCAAGGAGACATCCTTGCTCCTCAGCACTTGAAAGAGTTCCTTTGCAGTCAACCTGCCCAGTGCTACACGTCGTCTAATGTCCTGACTGCTGCTTCCATTGGCGTCAATTATAGAACCAAGCAATGTGAATTCTTTGACAACCTCAATCTTTTCTCCATTTATCATGATGCTGCTTATTGGTCCAGTTGTGAGGATTTTTGTCTTCTTTAGATTGAGATGTAATCCATACTGCAGACTGTGTTTCTCAATCTTCATCAGTAAGTGCCTCAAGTCATCCTCACTTTCAGCAAGCAAAGTTGTATCATCAGCATATCTCAGGTTGTTAATGATTCTTCCTCCAATCCTGATGCCACGTTTTTCTTCATATAGTCCAGCTTCTCGGATTATTTGCTCAGCATATAGATTGAATAAGTATGGGGAAAGGATACAACTCTGACGCACCCCCTTCCTAATTTAAAACCACACAGTGTCCTCTTGTTCCGTTCGAACCATAGCCTCCTAGTCAAGGTACAGGTTCCTCATGAGTACCATCAAGTGTTTGGGAATTCCCATTCTTCTCAATGTTATCCATAATTTGTCATGATCCACACAATCAAATGCCTTTGCATAGTCAATAAAGGGCAAGTAAACATCTTTCTGGTATTCTTTGCCTTGAGCCAAGATCCATCTGACAGTAGCTATGATATCCCTTGTTCCACATCTTCTTCTGAATCCAGCTTGCACCTCTGGAAGTTCTCTATCAATATACTGCTGCAACTGTTTTTTAATTATTTTCAGCAAGATCTTGCTTGCATGCGACATTAATGATATTGTTCAATAATTTCCACATTCTGTGGGATCACCTTCCTTTGGAATGGGTACAAATATAGATCTCTTCATGGATAGACAGGGAGAACAATGTGGGACAAAACTCAAAAACAATAAAAAAAAAAAAAAAAAAAAGAGGGGGACCAGGTTTGCTGGCCCAATAAAGCCTGGTGGAACCACTGAGACATTGGCCCCTAGCTGCCCTTCAGGTCAGGAATTGAACACACGCTTGTGGCTTCCAGCCAAACAATAGAAAGGCATATGAGTTGAACATTTACCTAAGGTAGATTCACTCCTTGGAGAGAACAAGCATGGGAGAAAGAAGGGCTGCTTATGCACCAGGAGACAGCTCAGTGGGCAGGAGTGCACGGAGGGATGGACACAGGGAAGAGTAACTATCAGGAGGAAGTAGGAGGGGAGATGTTGCATTGTGGTAAACTGTGGTCAATGTCATGAGACAAAGTGTATGTGAACTGCTGTATGGAAGTGTATTTGCTCCGTAAATTTTCACCCAAATCACAATAAAAAGAAAAAAAAAATATACGGATCTCTTCCAGTCAGTTGGCCAGGTACCTGTCTTCCAAATCTCTTGGCATAACTGAGTGAGTGTCTCCAGTGCAGCATCCGTTTGTTGAAATATCTCAATGGATATTCCGTCAATTCCCAGAGCCTTGTTCTTAGCCAATTCCTTCATTGCAGCTTCAGCTTCCTCCTTCAGTACCTCTGGTTCTAGATCATATGCCACCTTCTGAAATGGATGAAGATCAATCAGCTCTTTTTGGTACAATGACTCTGTACCAAAGTATTTTTTCCATCTTCTTTTGATGTTCCCTGCACATTCAATATTTTGCCCTTAGAATCATTCAATATTGCAACTCGAGGCTTAAATTTTTTCCTCAATTCTTTCAGCTTGAGAAATGTCGAGCGTGTTCTTCCCTTTTGGTTTTCTAACTCCAGGTCTTTGCACATTTAATGACATTAAGCCATTATAGTAATTGGCTTTGTCTTCTTGAGTTGCTCTTTGAAATCTTCAGTTCAATTCTTTTATCTTGTCATTTTTTCCATTTGCTTTAGCCACTCTCCACTCAAGGGCAAGTTTCAGAGTCTCTTCTGTCATCCATTTTGGTCTTCTCTTCTTTTGTTGCCTTTTTATTGACCTCTTGCTTTCTTCATGGATGATGCTCTTGATGTCATCCCACAATCCTTCTGGTTTTCCTTCATTGGTGTTCAAAGCATCAAATCTATTCTTTAGATGGTCTCTAAATTCAGGAGGGATATATTCTAGATCATATTTTGGCTCTCATGGGCTTGTTTTAATTGTCTTTAACTTCAAGTTGAACTTGCATATGAGCAGTTGATGGTCTGTTCCACAATCAGGTCCTGGCCTGGTTTTCGCTAAAGATACTGAGCTTCTCCATCATCTCTTGCCACAGATGTAGTCAATCTCATTCCTGTGTGTTCCAACTGGTGAAGTCCATGAGTAGAGCTGCCGTTTGTGTTGTTGAATAAAGGTGTTTGCAATGAACAAGTTGTTGGTATTGCAAAATTCTACCATATGAGTGCCAGCATTATTTCTGTCACCAAGGCCAAACTTTCCAACTACCAGTGATTCTTCTTTGTTTCTAACTTTTGCATTCCAGTCACCAGTGATAATTAACACATCCTGATTGCATGTTCGGTCAATTTCAGACTGCAAGAGTTGATAAAAATCTTCAATTTCTTCATCTTTGGCTTTGGTGGTTGGTGCATAAATTTGAATAATAGTCGTATTACTGGGTCTTCCTTGTAGGCGTATGGATATTATCCTATCACTGACAGCATTGTACTTCAGAACAGATCCTGAAACATCCTTTGTGATGATGAATGCCACACCGTTCCTCTTTAAACTGTCATTCCCGGCATAGTAGAGCATATGGTTGTATGATTCAAAATGGCCAAAACCAGTCGATTTCAGCTAATGCCTATGATATCAATCTTTATGCATTCCATTTCATTTTGACAACTTCCAATTTTCTTAGATTCATGCTTCATACATTCCATGTTCCGATTATTAATGCATGTTTGCCACTATTTCTCCTCAATTTGAGTGGTGCCACATCTGCAAATGGAGGTCTCGAAAGCTTTACCTTATCCATATGAGTAAGGCTGATTTTAGAAATAATGCAGCTCCTGCCCAGTCCTACTTTGAGAGCTTTCTAAGCTAAGTGACTCATCTTCCTCCTCTATATTGGACAATGTTTCTGGACTATTCATAAAGTTGTGCAGTAATGTTATCAGACAGTGTTTCTCTGCTTTTCATAAGGTTTTCCCTGGCCAATTCTTTGAGAAGTGGATGGCCTCCTCCTTCTTCTGGGCTGGGGAGTAGGATAACCAAAAAAATCCAAACTCACTGCCATTGAGTCAATTCTGACTCATAGTGACTCCCACTGGGTTTCCAAGGTGGTAAATCTTTTCAGAAGTAGATTGCCCAGTCTTCCTTCTGCAGAGTGGCTGGTGGGTTCAAACCACCAACCTTCTGGTTAGCAGTCAAATGCCTTAGGCACTACGCCACCAGAGCTCCCTGGGGAGTAGGATAAAGAGGGCAATAATACTGCTTTATAGGTATATCACTCTGATGGTCCGGAGAGAGAGAGAGGGAAGAATATTCTATATATCTTCCAGGCCATCTTTCAAAAACAGTTTGTGCAAACCAAGCTTTTGATAAGCACTGCCTAGCAGTGAGTTCAAGGCCATGCTCTCTCTACCTGGAATCCAGCTATTATCAATTAAATGATGGAGAGGATGGAGAAATGGCCATTCACTGAAACAGTGAATAAAGCCTGAGGGGTTGAACTGATAGACTCTGGTGAATGGTAACAACATGTAGAATAACTATTATTATTCATGTCTCCTTCATGAACAAAGGAAAGGAGATCTGTTTCTCCCTATAGCATGTTTTAAGCAAGATACTCTACAACCCACCTATTTTGGTCCTCTAGTGCTCCTGTAACAGAAATATCACAAATGTCTGGCTTGAACAAACAGGGATTTATTCTCTCTTACAGTTTAGGAGGCTAGAAGTTCAAGTTCAAAGTGCCAGCTCTAGGCCCTGGGTGAAAGCCCCTCAACCTTGGGCTTCAGCTCTGCTTCTTGCTCCCAGTCCACTAAAGCTAGAGGCGTCTCTTAATTCAGACAGCTGCTGGCTACTGAGACCGACAAACCCAAATTAGACAAGTAAAATGGCACAGTCCCAAAATTATCAAGCAACACGGAAGGCTACTAGTTCAAGCCCAGAAACAGTCTGAAGATTGGCAGACAGTATGGCAGGCTGCTGAATGAAAATTTGACTACAGCAGGGTCTAAGCATACCAAGAAGCTCAGGGCCTGAGCTTTCTCAAAGCTGTCTTTTTATGTACTGGAAGCAGACCACATCTCTAAGGCAGCTATTCAGCTGCTCACAGTAGATTCCACCATAGAGTTGCCTATCAGTCTCATCATAGGAAGTAACTACATTCAGCTGCCCAGCCACTCCAAACCAGGCCCAACCAGGTTGACACAAACCTTAACTACCAAAGCACCCTTCACACTCATGCTAGCCTTATCTTCCTGAAATACAGATCAAATACCATAGCTAAATAAGTCAAAAAAATTTCAGTGGCTCCCCATGACTACTAGTTAAACTTCAAAGTCACTGGTATGAAAGCCAGGCCTAATCTTCTCTTTCCAGTCTCATGTACAATTTCTCCAATCACACCTCACTGACCAGTGCTTTCCAAACAAGCTACACAGTCTCACATTTCCTCTTATCTTTGCTTACAATGGTCAAACCTGGTATTTCCTCATAAAGAGGAAATCAATTATCCATAGTTAGTGGCAATGTCCTCTTGTATCTGTACTTCATGAGTTCCATAACAGGATCATCTAAATGATTCTGCAGGACTCCTGCTTCTATAAACTCACCCTTAGTCTCCATGTAACAAGACTGTGCCCTAAGTGAAACTGTCCCTTTGAAATGTGTGTGGAGAATCACTTACCCTACAATATGGCTCCTTCTTTCTTATATCTTCCTGCTGGATCAGCCTCAGGCCCTGGACACCATTTTGAAGACCTCTTTCATATAGGGCCTGAAGCCTAGGAATTTCTTCTTGTTCAACAGCTACTATAAGCTTCAAAAAGAAAATGAAAAGCATGGATGTAGTTAAACATAATCAACTATGAAAGATAAAGTCAACAAACAATCATAAAGTGACAAGTTGGACTGATTCTCAAAAATTTTCTTTTTTCACGTATCTACTTCTCCCTTCCTTCATTACCTCATTTTCCTCTTCTACCAAAAAAGCTGTCTTAGAAATCCTGCATTAAAAAAAATCTTCCCCAAAGACTCTCATACACTGCTGGTGGGACTATAAAATGATAAAACCACTGTTGAAAGTAGTATGGTGAATCATTAAAAAGCTGGAATTAGAAATACCATTTGAACTACCCATTCCATTAGTAGGTATATATCCTAAAGAAGTGAGAGCCATGGCAAGAACAGATACATGCACATCCATGTTCATCGCAGCACTATTTGCAATATCCAAAAGATGGAAACAACCTAGGTGTCCATCAACAGAAGAATGGATAACCAAACTATGGTACATACACACAACGGAATACTACGCAACCCTAAAGAATAACGTAGAATCTGAAAAACACCGCATAATGAACTTGCAGGACATTATGCTGAATGAAGTAAGTCAATCACAGAAGGACAAATATTGTATTAGACCATTACTAAGGCATCTGACCGCTATCCAGAAGGCTGGTGGTTCAAACCCACCAGCCACTTCTCTGAAGGAAGGTTGGGTGATCTACTTCTGCAGTGAGATCGCCTCGGAAACCCAAAGAGGGGTCACTATGAGTCGGGTCCGACTTGATAGCACATAACAACAACATTAATCACAGAACTGGAGGTTCTACCCAGAGCAATGAGGCAAGAAAAAGATACAAAAATATATCCAAGTTAGAAAAAAGGTGGCATGTGCCAAAGGCATTTGACTGCTACCAGAGGCTGGTGGTTCAAACTCACCAACCACTCCTCAGAAGGAAGACTGGGCAATCTACTTCCATAGACATACCACCTCAGAAATTCAAGCAGGGATCGCTATGAGTCTGATGCAACTCAAGGGCAGTGAGTTTGGTTTTTTTTGGTTACTTTATTCTCAGATGAGTTCTAATAATTTTTTTGTGGATTCCTTAGGATTTTCTGTATGGTTCTACATACAGAAAATCCTAAGGAATCCACCAAAAAAAACTATTGGAACTAATAAATGAGTTTAGCAAAGTTGCCAAGTAAAAGATCAATATACAAAATCAATGTTATTCATAATTCATTATGATCTACACAGTTGAATGTTTTTGCATAGTCAATAAAACACAGGTAAACATCTTTCTGATTTTCTTTGCTTTCAGCCAAGATCCATCTGACATCAGCAATGATACCCCTCGTTGGGCCCCTATCTCATACCATATACAAAAATTCAATAAAAAGTTATAGTTCTATATATAACTATGAGTATAAAAACTCTTAGGAGTACACAGCAGTTAATATAGGAGTAAATTTTCATGATCTAGGGTTAGGCAATGATTTCTTAGAAAGGACACGAAAAGAATAAGCAACAATAAAAATACATAAATTAAATTACATCAAAATTTTATTTATTTTATTTTTGCAATGTTCCGTTCCTGCCCCTCCCTTCCCTGGTAACCAACAAAGAATGTTACCTTCCATATATAAACTTTCCTTGACTTTCTACAATAATGAACTAAAACAGTATCTGTCCTCCTATGATTGACTTATTTAACTCAGCAAAATGTCCTCCAAGTTCATCCACATTACATGGTGTTTTGCTGATTCTACATTATTCTTTAGGATTGCATAGTATTCCATTGTGTACCATATTTTGGTTATCCATTCTTCTGTTGGTGGGCACCTATGTAGTTTCCATCTTTCTGCTATTGGTAAATAGGGCTGCGATGAACATGGTGTGCATATATCTGCTTTTGTCCTGGCTCTCGCTTCTTTAGGATATATACCTACTACTAGGATTGCTGGATCAAATGGTATTTCTAACTCCAACCTTTTAAGCAATTGCTATACTGCTTTCCACAGTGGTTGTACCACTTGACAGTCCCACCAGAAGTGTATGAGAGTTGCAAATTCTCCACATCCTCACCATCATTTGTTATTTTCTGTTTTTGTTGAACTTTGTTATTAGTGCTGGGGCAAGATGGTATCTCACTGTTGTTCTGACTTGCATCTCTCTAATGGCTAAGGGAGCTCCGGTAGCATAGTGCCTAAGGCACTTGACTGCTAACCAGAAGGCTGGCGGTTCAAACCCACCAGCCACTCCTCGGAAGGAAGATGGGGCAATCTACTTCCATAGTGATACTGCCTCAGAAACCCAAGGAGGGGTTGCTAGGAGTCAGGTCAGACTCGATGGCACATAACAACAACAACAACAATGGCTAATTATCATGAACATTTTTTCATGTGTTTGTTGGCCACCTGATGAATATCCTCTTTGGTGAAGTGTCTGTCTACTGCCCATTTTTTAATTGGATTGTCTTTTTATTGTTCAAGTGTTGGCGTTTTCTACATATTTTAGAGATAAGTCCCTTGTGAGATATGTTGTTGCCTAATATTTTTTCCCAATCTGTAGGTTCTCTTTTGACTCTTTTGGAGAAGTCTTTTGAAGCACATAAAAATTAATTTTTAGAAGGTCCCATTCATCTAGTTTATCTTCTGTCGTTTGTGCATTTTGGGTTATGCTTGACTATTTATGCCATAAATTGTTCTTGTTGTTATGTGCCATCGAGTCAGACCCGACTCATTGCAACCCCTCCTTGGGTTCCCGAGGCAGTATCACTACGGAAATAGATTGCCCCATCTTCCTTCTGAGGAGTGGAGCCCCTGAATTTGCCCCTATTACTTCCTTGAGGAACTTTATAGTTTTAGATTTCACATTTAAGTCTTTGATTCATCTGGAGGTAGTTTTTGTGTTTGGTGTGAGGTACAGATTTTGTTTCATTTTTCTGCAAATGGATATCCAGTTGTGCCAGCATCATTTGTTAAAGAGACAGTCTCTTCCACATGTAATGGATTTCAACCGTTTGTCAAAAATCAGCTGACCACAAGTCAATGGATCTATTTCTGAGTTCTCAATTCTGTTCCATCTGTCGATGTGTCTGTCGTCATACCAACAGCAGATTGTTTTGACTACTGTTGCTGTTTAGTAGGTTTTGAGATCAGGGAGCATGAGACCTCCTACTTTGTTGTTCTTCATAGTGCTTTGATTATACGAGGTCTGTTTCCTTTCTGTATAAAATTACTGATTGGTTTTTCCATATAGTGCCTAAGGCATTTGACTGCTAACCAGAAGGTAGGCAGTTCAAACCCACCAGCCACTCCTCGGAAGGAAGACTGGGCAATATACTTCCATAGTGATACCACCTTGGAAATCCAAGGGAGGTTGCTATGAGTCAGATCCCACTTGATGGCAGTGAGTTTGGTTTGGTTTTTTGGTTTAAAGGTTGATGAAGGGATCTGGATTGGGATTGCATTGAATGTATAGATTGCTTTGGGTAGTACTGACATTTTCACAATGTTCAATCTTACTATCCAGAAGCAATGGTACATTGTTCCATTTATGTAGATATCTTATGGTTTCTTGAATAGTGTTTTGTAGCTTTCTTTATACAGGTCTTTTGTGTCTCTAGGGAGCTCTGGTGGCAAAGTGCCTAAGGCATTTGACTGCTAACCAGAAGACTGGTGGTTCAATCCACCAGCCATTCCTCAGAAAGAAGACTGGGCAATCTACTTCTGTAGTGATACCACCTCGGAAACCCAAGGAAGGGTCGCTATGAGTTGGATCTGACTCCACAGCAGTGAGTTTGGTTTGTTTTCTTTGTGCCCCTAATAAGATTTATTCCCAAGTATTTATTTTTTTGGTAGCTATTGGCTGGCGGTTCAAACCCACCAGCCACTCCTCGGAAGGAAGGTTGGGCAATCCTACTTCCGTAGTGATACTGCCTCGGAAACCCAAGGAGGGGTCGCTATGAGTTGGGGCCGACTCGACGGCACATAACAACAACAACAAATTGTAAATGGTATTGAATTCCTTGTTTCCTTTTCAGCAGTCTCTTTGCTGGTGTAGAGGTATCGGACTGATTTTTGTAGACTGATCTTGTATCCTGCCACTATATTAATCTCTCAATTAGTTCCAGGAAGGTTCCCCCCCCCCAAGTCTCTTGGGTTTTCTATGTGCAGGATCATATCAGCAGCAAATGGGGATAATTTTACATCTTCCTTACCAATTCGGATTGCCTTTGATTTCCCTTTCTTGTCTTATTGTTCTGGCAAGGACTTCCAATAGTGTTGAATAGAAGTGGTGATAGAGGGCATCCTTGTCTGGTTCCTGTTCACAAGTGGAATGGTTTCAGTCTCTCTCTGCTGAGAATAATGCTGGCTGTTGATTTTTCATATATACTGTGGTAGTTAAGTTTATGTGTCAACTTGGCTAGGCCTGGTTGAGTGGCTGGGCAGCTGGATGTAGTATTCCCCATGATGACACTGGTAATCAATTCCATGGTGGAATCTACTGTGAGCAGCTGAGTAGCTGCCTTTGGGTATGTAGTCTGCTTCCCATATATAAGCAGGAGCTTTGGGAATAGTCTCTAGCCTATGGCACACTTGGACCCTGCATGTAGCCATGTCATTGCTCAGCAGCCAGCTATGCTCTGCCAACCTTGGGACTTACAATGGACTTAAGTCAATGGCCTGCTGTGTGGTAACATTGGGACTGTGCCTTTTTACTTGTCAACTTTGGAGTTTCTCAGCCTTAGCAGCCAGGAGCTGTCTGAGTGAAGAAATGCCTCTAGCTCCAGTGGGCAGGAGCAGGAGGCCGAGCTGGACCTCAAGGTTGAGGGGCTTTCACCCAGCCCCTAGAGCCTGGCACTTTCAACTTGGACTTAAAGCCTCCAAATTGTAAAAATAAAGTCCTGTTGTTAAGGCCATCCCATTTGTGGTATATTCTTGTCAGAACAGCACTAGGTAACCAGAACATACACCCTTTATTATGTTAAGGAATTTCCCTTCTATTCCTATTTTGCTGAAAGTTTTTAT